GGTCTTTGATGTTACAAATTACAAAAAAAAGGAATTCAAAATATTGGAACTTCGTAATTTTATTATAACTTAGTCACATAAAAAATGTACAATGAGTTTATGAGTTTCTTATTATGTGCCTTAAATTAGATAATTCTTCTGACTTCAAAGAATCGCTTTAAGTAGAAAACTTGCCCTATTGTCATACAAACCAGAACCATAGCTTCAAAGAAGGCCCACATACCTACAAGGAAATTGGTACTTTCGTTGATAGCTCTATGGTTTCGATCTCGTACCTGAGAAAAGAAGTTAGCAACGTTGAAATTCCAAGGTCCTGGATTCTAAATACATAAAACTAAAAAAATTTAGTTACCTGCATATATTCTTGCTCATTTTTCACTCCCCATAAACTTGTGCTTAATTCTTTAATCATATCATCTATTTTACTATGATTTGTATCATCGGCATTCTTTCCATCTGAAGTATGTTCTACAGGTTTTAGAGTCTCACCAATATTCATATTAAACATTACAACTTTTGGTGTCATACTGCTTTTCTGATTACCAAAGCAATACGTATAAACACCAGACAAATGCGCAGCAAATGTATATTTTCCACTGCTTTCTTGTTCACCTTTATATATTTCCTTCTGATCAGGACCAATTATTTTTACATCTATATCTAAAAATCCACCTTCCGCTATCTCAAACGTAAGACCTAAAAGATATTACAAGTATAAGAAAAATTTCTTATTTGATTAACATTATGCTAATGTATGTGTAGCTAATATTGATAAATGACATAAATAAATGAAAAATATATATCTTTTGATTTTTTTAGTATCTTTACTCACTATTATACAAACAAGAATTAATTTATTCTTTTTCTAAATACATTTAAGAGAAAATAGACACAATATACAATACTAATCTTTACTTCAATTTTGAGTCTATAATCTATCGAATTATATAGTGCACACAATTTATTCAATTAACAAAAACTCCATATGTAAAATAATATCTTTCATCTTCTTAATATTATTTAAAAATGACTTATATAACACAATTTAAATAAACATAATCTAAATATGATGTTAATGACATAAATATTCATTGAATACATTTCTGAAATATATCTAATTGAAAAATTTACATTTCGTAAATTTTACATAATAGAAACGTTAGCAATAACAATAAAAATGAAATGTCAAACCCCAATTTATATTAAAATAAATAAGTAATTGCGTAATGAATTTGTAAAACGCGTTATTGTAATCATTAAAAATTATTTAAAGAAAGTTTCCTAAGCAAAAACTAACCCATTTTCGTTCCCGCTTCAACTCTGTCGAAAAAGCATTCTTCAGCATGTGCATCCACAGTTATGAAATAACAGGTTGCACTTTTGCTTAAAACAATTAGGGATAAACAAGAAATAAGCCACCTCATTTTATCAAATTACGCTGTGAACTTATTAAAAATGACATATGCCGATTCTTAACTCTGCCACTTCACAGCGACATGTTGCTACCACAGCGCCACGTATGCAGACTACCATGAAATTAATGGTAGACAGATGTACATTCGTTTGAAAAATATAGTGCCTCAGGTTTTGCACGATTTTTCTACCTCCTTCAATTTTTTACTGCACATCCAATACGCAGTGTATCCTGTCTTAAGCCCGGAGAAACACACTTTCTATGAAGCAGTTTTATACTTAGCAGTAGTAAATGCTGCATTCAGATAACATATGTTCTAAGAAAAGTGTCCAACATTTTTTGATAACTAATTTCCATCTTCACGTAAACTTGTCCGGAACTAGACTTATCATGAGTATTAGCCCAAAAATTTCATGCATCTGACACGCATGCGTATGCAATGTTTCCACTTTTGTGTGTCAAGGTTATCCAATTTAGGAACATGAACAATACAAATTTAAATAGTAGTACATACCATACATACCATACCACCTCTGATATTCCCTGTTGGTGACTTGTGGTACCTTGACCTGATTCGTTATATGTCACTTCAGCTGACTTCAGCTACTAATAAAAATGCATAGCCTTGATAAGAACTTTTCAATAGAAATATTAAGTTAAATAAGTAAATATTTATTGAAGGCTGCAACTCAATAATGCAAGTCAATGATGCAAGTCGATCATAGACTTTCACAATAAAAGGAAGTTCTCTGATATCGGCAAGTGATTTTCAGGTGATCGGAGTGAAGAGTGAAGAGGAACTATTTTGAACAAATGTCAGTCAATGTCTAATATTACCACTATTCATATGTTGATCTGTTGATCCAATGTTATTGGATCATTGTATATTTGCACTGGGTCGAAGTCACTTTATTATACAATAAGGCAAATATTAAATAAATCTATTAAGATTTATAAAAATATTTTACAATCTCCATTATCATTCACAATTCAGTCTGTGACCGTGATTAAATATTATCAACAGATAATATAAAGTGTATATTTATCTTTCCCGATAGTGGAAATGTTACGAAAATCTTTTATATACATATGAATAAGAATTGAATACACTGCCATTAATAACTAAAAGGAAATAAAGATGAGGACTGTGAGTGTTTGTTATTTGATAAGGAGAAATATTTTTGTACAACATTGGAGACAAAACTTAATTAATTCATCTCTATCTTCTAAACATATGCATATTAATTCAAAGGAGTAAGTTTGATTTCATGTAAGTATATACTTTCCTATTATCCATTATTTATTTCAATATTTACTTATTTTTATTCAAGCATAAAACCAGTAAAACTTGCATATGCATCATATGAGTCAATGAAACAAAATACAGATGATTCAAAGCACCCTATTATTATAATGCATGGCCTTTTTGGGTCAAAGAATAACTGGAATATGTTATCAAAATCAATACATCAGCAAACAGATCGTAAGGTAGATACATGGAATTTATGGAATATAAGAAATACTTGAAATGCATTTATAGGTAATATCTGTAGATGCAAGGAACCATGGAGACTCTCCACATTCTTCAAATATGACCTATAGACACATGGCAAATGATGTCATTCAACTCATGCATGATTTAGGATTTGAAAAATCTATTTTAATAGGACACAGTATGGGAGGCTCTACAATGATGTATGTAGCTTTAAATTATCCAGAAGTAGTAGAAAAATTAGTAGTAGTAGATATGTCTCCAGTGAGGACCAGTCCTCAACTTTTGGAGATGGAAAAGATATTCAATGCTATGAGTTCAGTAGACCTAAGCAATAGCCCAACATTGACAAAGGCACGTAGAATGGCAGAGGAACAGCTTGCAGATGCTATTAAACCACTGACTTTACGCCAGGTATATAACTACCTTTTACGTTTATAATAATTTTATTATGAACGGTTTGCAATAATTAGATCAAATTTTAATTGCAGTTTTTAATAATGAATATAGTGGAAGCTGATATTGGAAAGTATAAATGGCGGATTAATTTACCTGTACTGCAACAAAATTTTGTAACAGAGATAGCAGTTTTTCCTTCGATGCAGGAATCAGAAGTTTTTAAGGGACCAACATTATTTATAGGAGGTGGCTTGAGTGATTACATAAAGATGGAAGATCATGATAAAATTAAAAATTTATTTCCTTCTGCTCAATTCTCATACATAAATGGTGCCAATCATTGGGTTCATGCAGACAAACCAACTGATTTTGTGAAGTGTACAATTGATTTCATTAATCAATCGTAATTGTAATTTCCATTTTAAGATAAGAAAAATACGTAATGCATTTGGAAACATATATATGTATTTATGTGAAATTTATAACATTACAGATACAAGTGAAAAATAGAACGATAAAATACAATTGTATACAATGTAAACAAATTGTGAATTCTGCATCAGGTAAGAACTTACAAAGTTTACACACTTTATTAACTTCTTGTTTGTTACATTTCCATAAATTGCATATTCAATGTTTTGTAGCTTGGAAATAATTTTATCAGAACTGGAAAGTAGTTTCGCGTAAGGCCATGTTTTATTGGAGAACGACTATTCAAAATGTAAAATTTTGATAAGGCTTTTAGACATTATTAAAACATAGTGTGCTTAATTAATTATTGTGATTTTAAGACAGAAATATTCAACAAAATATAGATAAATTCGATTCAAAAAGTTCAAAGAATTGTGTACAAATACTATATTTAAGCGATAATGTAAAAATTTGCGATTGCAACTTTGTGTACAGAGAAATAAAGTTATAATTTTAAATTAGTTAAGTATGTGTTGCAATATCACAATCATTTTTGCAAAGTGCAAATTCCTTACTAACTTTTCTTTATATTTTATCCTATTCAACAAATTGCATACTAAAGTACATCGTGAGGATGTCCACCATTGTATGCATAGTCTGCTTTATTGTGCATTACCAATTGATTGTCCACAAAATAAAATGAATCTGAGCGTGTTTCGAACGGATTTGCAATCATTTCAGATACTGAAAGATCATTTTTAATGAAATTATACTATGCGATTAATATTTCCAGTCATCATACAATCAAACTTACAACTTACCCAAATCAGCAGGCAAAGTAGGGAACTCATAAATATGTTCGCAGGTATTTTTGCTGTTTGGTATACAAAATCCAAATTGAAAATCAAAGGTTTTTAACAATCTGTCTCGAAAGAAATGGCGTTCAATCATTCGAAAATTAGTCACTGGTTTAGAGCCCACAAGAAATTCTACTGTCGCCCCAACAGTCTTCAATTTGAGAAATTGGGGTGTAAATTGGTAACGTACAAAGCGACCAGTATTTGTGTCCTCACAACCAGATTCTTCACACTCTGGTTCTACATCTTGTACAAGATCGCATTCTAAAATATACAAACAAGATATTTATATTTGATAGCATACAATATATAGACATAAATATATATACATAAATTAGTTTAGTCACTATTTACCAGTAGCTGGTGGTTTTGTTATTTCGAACAATATTGCTCCTGTTTCTAGGTCCCTAATTTGAAATCTTGTAAAATCAATGTCATAAATATTAGCCTCTGGAGAACACAAATATTCTAAAATAAAATTGATCAATGGTTATTTTATAAAAAAGGAAGATATATAAACTATTATAATAAAAATATACTGCCTTACTATCGGTAATTGTAGGCAAGCGTAACACCATTTCTGGGGTTATAGGGGTTTTTTCAATATTTCCGTTGTCAGAATTTTCTTGATCTACTGACGGTGTAAACGAAGTAATAGCTTCGTTTGATTTGTTTTCGCTATCAACACTCATATTTTAATAGTAATTAGACCATAAGCAGACAATTTATTTAACGTACAAGCGTATATTTTTCGTATAACTATTATGCTATGTCCCACATAAAATGACATTCATTGAAGATTTTTTAGGGGTCTTTTACATACATGCTTCGTTACAAATATTTATGGAACATTTCTAATCTTTAAATCCTTTATCCATCTGATAACATCTTCATTGTGTAAACTTTTGGACATTCCATCGTATTTTGACAATTATTCATGCGCCACGTTAGAAACGTCAATCATAAATATATCCTGAAACTATACACAACTGTAGAAACACTACCCATTCATACATAGAATACCAAAGCCAAAAACGGTCCAATCGGAACATTCGATGTTCGTATTATTGAAGCTGGCTCACCATAGTGACCAATATTAATAAAACATAGCTTTAAAAACTGCTCTTTAATTGCCCATAATTGCTTACCAATTAGTTTTAATTGCTTACTTATCCTTTTCGAGAAATATCCAAAAAAACTTTGTTGAGAAGCCTAGGGATTTTTACGACAGATTGGAGACTTTTAATAATACGAAATTTCTGAAATAATGAATAAAACGTGTTGTATTACCTATCAAAAATTGCTCTTTCCTTCTAACCAATTGCTCAGTCTTCCACGGACGACAATTTTATCAATAAACAATACATTTTTAATAAATAAATATATAAGAAACTAGGAGTTCGTGCCGTTCATAGCAAATTGCTCTATCAAGCAATTTTCTCAATTAGCTTACATATTAAAAAAAAAAACATTTTTTAACAATGCATATTTAAAAATCACAGTTTAATTATAAATTACTGTACAAATTGCTATTTACTAAAATATGAAAAATAGAAGGCGAGAACGTTATTCTTATTTGCTAAACTTTTACCTCCAATTTAGCAATTCTATACTGCCTCGTTTGTATATTTCTAATAAGGACAAATGGATATTTTTTGTTAACTAATTCGAGCAGCGAATTCAACGTTATATATCCCAGACCTATGCCTTTTGCCTGTGTAAAAGAAAAATCACCTTCTGTTACATATCCCATGACTTCTCTACTGCAGGAACATCTTACACCAACACAATCTGGAAGGTACATCTGTGTCATTTTCTCAGACTGCTTACAGACAGCTTCACGACTTTCTTCTAATAAATTTCTTCTCTTGCTCTCACTATTTAAAATTTGTAGATCACTGTTTAACAGCTGTCTCAGTTCATCATCTAATGCTTTTTTATGTCGCAACCTTTGCTTTCTTAAGCGTTTTAGAAGTGCTAAGTGATTTTTTCTTAATCTTTTTCTAATGGTTTCATTTGGATCAGGATACAACTTCTCTGTAGGACCCGACCAGTTCCTATTATTTCTATACATCTCTATATCTTCAGGTGTTGGCATACATATAATTGCAAATCTTTTAGGGCATCCTTTTTTCAAGATGGATACCTTGACATGAATTAAACAATTCCTATTTTCAAAAGAATGTTCCAAATGAGGATATGATTTGGATTTCTGCAATTTATTCTGTCTACTTGGTTTTCCTTCAGTTACTAAATTATCTTGTAACAATTGCAACAACTTACGATTTCTTAATACAAAAAAATCTTCAACATTGGTCCACTCATTCATCAAAGTTCTCCATTCACAATAAAATGGAGTAGCAATTCCCAGCTTTACAAAATTTACACGTCTATTAGTTGGATAGCGCAAATATTTTTCTATCAATTCTTTTTTAGTACTTAATGCTTCTCTTGAATAAGCAAGTGTATCTGGGTCATTGATGTCTGGCGATTTTACATTTTCATACTCGAACGCGATAGATGTTGATTCCCTGAGTGCACCTATTCTTACACAACGCAGTATGCAAGCAAGCCAGAATGGCATTGCCCAACCTGCTGGTAAAATAATGTCTATAGCAGAACTTAAACCCTGATTACCAATTCCTGGTTTCTGAACTAAAAGTATGGGTATTTTGGTCATAATCTCTTCATTGAAATATTTGTCATTATTTATGCCAGGGACTAAACATTTACTCCTTAGTTTATTAATGGAACTAGTTGTTACACATGTTTTAGTAACTTTTTGCCGTATTTCCTCATCCCAAATTGGACTGGAATTAGCACTTGTCGGTGGGACTGGCATTAATTCCATCATCTTTGAGACACTACCTTGTGGCTTTGTTCTTTTTTCAGGCAGGTGAAACCTCGGATCTAGAACTGTAAATCCGAGAACAATATTTGGTGGCAATTGACTAGACGATTGCAGTGTCTTTAGCAGTTCCCACAATTGTTTTTGAAGTTTTAAAGATTCTAAATTTTCCTCATTACTGTAGTATTCTTTATGCCACAATTTATTATTGTCTTGATTATCATCTTCATACTCCATTCGATTTTCTTCAACTTCGATCGTAATTGGAGAATGAAATTTTTCATCAATATTTGGTAATCGTAATGTCTCCGTTAACGTGCTTAACGCTAACGGTCCGAAAAAACGAAATCTGTTAAACGTGGTTTTGTGGACGGTCATTTTACAATTATTATCGTTGGTATATGAATTAGATTTAATCATTTGACTATTTGTTGGGCTAGGCACTGTATCATTTACTTTAAAGTCGAAGCTGGATATGATTTCATTCAAAAATTCATCGAAAAACGATGGGTGCACCCAAATCCAGATTGTTTTTAATTTTGAATTCCCGCTCGGCTTCCACAAAAAGTGCACGTGACCAATTGGAAATCGCGGGTAACCATTTTTTTTAAAGAACATCAGAGTTCCTTCCCGGGTACCGGAAATGAAAACTTTTGCGGCGAACGTTAACTCGAGTGGATTACAATGGCACTTCAATGTTTCTTTCAGAATTTCTTCGGGTCCGTGCATTTCAACGCATGTGTAATACGAAATATCTTGCATAAGACAATGCTTTGTCACGGCGCGATAATTCGCCTTAAAACATCTGTCGTTTGCATAACTTGCGATCTTGTAGCCCCATTTTTCCACCATATGAAAGCGTTTTGCATGCCAAATATGTGTCTCCAACCAAATTTTGTTCCGCTGTCTTCGGTTATACTCCAAAAGCAAATTTCGCGGTCGCCTGCGATATTTGCGGCACGGCCTCTTGATTTTTGGCGGCAAACCAGATTTTTTCATTTGATTCAAATGTGCTTCCCGCAATCGACGCGGCAGTCGCTTCACACTGTGCGACATTACACGCCTGCGCATATACATAGGCAACTTTTGAAACAAAAGTTTCGTTTGCTGATTATTTTCTGAAAGTGTTAAGTGCGTTAAAACGTTGAAGCAAAGGATATTTCATTCGAATAACATTGAAAACATGATATCACATAACCTACCTATAGAATGTGTCATTGCAGCGATTTCGCTAGCTCTTGCGGAAACCAGCTTTAAAATGTGGACCTCATTCGGTAATTTTTGAGATCCACCTAAATATTTATCGAACTGTTCTTTTCCCGCCATCTTCGATAAGTAGTTTCGAATCCTTGTTTACACCAAGATAACCTAAAACTCCTATGCTCGTTACTCTTTGTGCGCGGCCATTATCGAATAAAGTAGCATTAAAATTTTAATGATACATACTTGCAACAACTAATGAAATAATTTTTAAGCGTATAAATCAGTAATCATTTCATGTTTTACTGTTAATACTGAAATCGTTGACTTGTATGGCGCACGTGTTGTAATTTACTAAAGACATGAACAAAACGATTTCACATAGAAGCGTTTCCAGCATGCAGATTGTTCTAAGTTAGTTTCTGTATGCGCCGATAGGTGCTGCGAGCTGCGTCATTAAGACAGCCTTAAGAATCAGGATTTTTGAAATATTATTTGAAATCGTTGTTATCCCAATTTCCAATGAAGTGTACCTCTCAATTTACATTATAATCACTAGAACCCAATAAGAACTCATAAGAAAAGATACACGATCTGCATTATAGTAAGAACGTTATCGAACCAATAAGGAAAACGGCATTACGAATTGTCGACGAAAATACAAGAGTACCATTGGCCGAGCGAAGTCGTGTATGAATGCGATATCAAAGAGCAATGTAAAGTGATGCGTCTGCATTCGTAGTGTACACTATTGCTCTACGATCTATGTGTTCGGGGCCGTCGATGATGTTCAATTTGCCTGCAGTTTGCCACTTAAATGTCCGGTGGAATCCCTCTGCCTGATGTCAAGACCCGTTCCGTAAAATAGTCGCCATCTTTGCGACCAGGTCGCATCCCTCGGTTTGGACAGACGTATGTTGCGCGCAGCTTTATATAGTGTCGGATAGAAAAAAAAATCGTTGAAAGTTGGTGACGAAAGGGGCAAAGGCGATTCATCAGGACCGGATAGAGTTCGAGAGCTGCGACGAGAGTGTGGCCCAGCGCGAAAGTGGGCGGAACGCGTAGGGCTTACGTTCTCCTGGCCTCGCTAGAGCAGTAGTACGTGCGATAGTAGGAATATTCTTGCTCGTTTTTCTGACAAGAGTGACATATACACGCACACATACACACACAGGGAGAGAGAGAAAGAGAAAGAAATAAAAAAAGGAAAGAGAGAGCTAGAGAGAGAGAGAGAGAGAGAGAGAGAAAGAGAGAGAGACACAGTAAGAGAGCTGTCGCGTTAACTACTCTGGTGCAGTGATAACGGACCAGCCTGGGACTCATCGTCGGCCAGCCCGTTACCGGCGTATGCCATTGTAGCGTGTACATCGTTAACGTGCGGTTTGTTACGGGTGCAACAGAAACGGAAAAATGAGTCGTACATGGGCCGCTGGCCATATCTCGGTGCCAGACGAGCTCCACGAAGTTCTATTGGAATTCACGATTAGTTATCTACTGGAACGGCCAGTGAACGTTATCGACTATGCCGTCGAGTATTTTACGCAACTACAAGAATCTCGACAGACTCGGTTAATTCATCCCACTGAGACCTGTAAATCTACGCCGGACGAGTCGCCGGATGAGTTGCCGGAAGAAGGTGAGCGGTCGAAGAATTTTCAGTCGGTCGGGATGCAACTTCCCATCGCGTCCAGTAGACGTCCCGCGACCAACCGATACATACACATACAACAGACCCACACACGCACACACATATATATATGCAACCCACCGCTCGCCAGCCTGTTAGTCCGAAGCGCGCCGTTCGCGGTACCGTTTCGATTTAGAAATTCGACTCCTCTCATAGTGCGCTTTGTGTAACTCGACCGGTGTCGCCCGATTCTCGCGGTTTTCGCTGAAAAACTCGCGTACGCGACCACCAATGGATATCGGTACGACACTTCTATTCCGATTCAAAACAGAGTTCCGCGAATTCGAAACTTGTGATCCACACACTGCTTGACCTGCTCCGATTTATTTACGATTCCGTTACCGTTTTTTTTAAACACGGCCCGGTGGATCGCCGTTGTTGTCGCGGGATGATAGATCGCTTTGGACCGTGTTCTCAAGGTTATTTCTATCGTTACAGTACCGCAGGTCGATAGGTTCTCCAAGAGGAGGAAAAGTATCTTCACGGAGACCTATAATCCCGAGGAAGATGAAGAGGATGCTGGAACGAAGGTACGTCGATTCGTGGATCAATCGATCTTCTTTATTCCTTTTGTTTTGCAACGATCGGTTCCGTTCAACGAAGGCTACCTTTTACTATCGGTCGCGTTTCGATCTTCGTTCTCGATCACGTTGCACGAAGATCCATACTGTCTGCGCTCGTCTTCGAGCGGAGGGTGCGTGTATCGAATCGACGATCGATCGGTACAATTCGGTCGAACGTTAGAGAACGAGAATCGACTCTTCGTCACCTTCGGGAATACGAATGTTTTGTCGAGATGTTTACGCGAGAAACCGTTACCTTCGATTATGTTACGGGTGCAGTACCGACGTTATCACCAAAACGAACAGTAGCGTTGATTCGAGATGATGGAAACGAGGATTCATCGAATGCGCCGACGATTTATCGATCTTCAGAACGCGAGTGTAATTTCAGCCCTCCAAAACAGTAAAAATCGCTCTTCCGAAACTGTCCATTGAGATCTCGATTAATAAGAAAATAGCATGCATCGATATTTTATTATTTTAATATTTGAAGCGTCTATGGTGGAAGACTGTATGTAGATACGCAAGAGTTTACGGGCAATATGGCGACATTGGTTCCCAAAGGGTTAACCCTTTCGATGTAGCACAGTTTCACCAAGTTTCTGTCCTCGAATATAATAGGGCCGTTTCGATGAAATAAAATTTCTATAGCAGCTCGATTCAATCATCACGATCTTTGTTTCGAGAGAAAACACCTGAATTACGTTCGCAATTATAACAGCTGTTCACTGCGCTTTTACTACTTTAGATCGGCAACATAGGAGTGGAAGGAATAGTTATTACGGACACGAGGATATTTCGAGCGTCTTTCGAAAAAAAAGGATATATCTATTTATAGACATATAGCGAGTAGTAGCGCGCGTTAATAGTCAATGAAAGTCTTTAACGAAAAATTTCAACGATTATGCATAATAGTACGTGCACAGATTCGAGCCGTCGCCCAACGAAGGGTCGAAGTATGTATGAATCCGAGGATCTCGCGTCCCTGGGGAACCTGTTAAGGACAGAGCCTTATGGTTTCGCGGTAAATATGTCGAAGGGTCCGAAAACCCTTTATTCCGGTACATTGGAAGGCGACAAGGATAGGGTTAACGTGTTTCACACACGATTACATCGCGCACGTACGCGACGGCGTGCGTGTACGTGTGTACAAAGGCTAAATATGGATGCTTTATGACTCGTTGGAATAATAACACGGCCGATCGGTTCTGTTCGAGAACGCACACGCGGTTCGCGAACGTAACGTCCGAAAAACGAACCATTCGTCGAACGCCAGCGTACCGCGCTCGCTGTACTCCAAACAGAGAAAGCATGAGAGAGAGAGAGAGAGAGAGAGAGAGAGAGAGAGAGAGAGTGGAGGGAGAAAGTGCCTAGGAGCCGGCCATCTTTTTCCTCCCTTCTTTGTATTTTGTTTTTTATTTTTTTTATATCCTTCCCTATCGAGACACCGGCGTATTCAGGCTGCGCGGGTGACGAAACGGGATGATTTACTTTGCTCGGCGATGCGAGCGATGTACCTTTGTGACGTCAGAGCGCGTGTTCGATAACCTGGTACCGACGTGACTTACATATGTATAGGTCGTATACACACGCGCGCGTGAGGCCTGTTCGTGAATGAGCGAGACAGAGATAGAGAAGAGGGTAAGGGAGAGTGAGCGAGAGAGATTGAGAGAAAACGAGAGAGAGTGAGAGAGAGAGAGGAGTAGGAGGGAGAGACGCAGGCCTCGGTGTTCGGATCGGGATCGTAACTGCTCGAAAGCATTTCAAAAGACAGCGACGATCACGATTATCGGGAACCTGAACCGTTAAAACTGATCGGGACAACCACGGGTTTCCTATAAGGTGGCCCATTAGAAACGACAGTTGGCTGGTTGTTGTTAGATCCTCGAGCAACCTATTTCTGTTATTTAGCACTAGAACCACCGACCTGTGAAATTAAATATTTCAAATTCATTGTTTTTCGATTATAGAGATTGCAAAGGCGCTTATGTGGGTAGATATTAATAATAATAATAATAATAATAATAACAATAATAATAATTTATTCATGTATACGCGCGTAGGTTTTATATAACGATCGCATTAAGTATGAACAAAGAGGAAAGAGGGGGAAAACACAAAAAAATTTAAGATCGCAAAAATCGCAGTATTGTCCCAATTTTGGACACTTTTGACCGAGAACTGTAAGAAATCTGCAGTTTTCGAAATCTTCCAACGCCTGCAGCTTGACTCTGAGTTAACGGATTTCGATCAAATTTTTAGCGTGCACATACGTAAGTTGCCGAGATCTAGGAAAGGTGTCTTTTAAATGTTCATTATAGGTCCAGAAAAAAAGTTAAAAACGAGAGTTATTGCCTTTTTAAAAGGTGTTCGAACATTTTCGTGCGCCTCTGTACGCAGATATTGAAGACATCTAATCATTCAGATATATTCTATGAAAGTAACGCAGACTGCGCTCTTTTAGTGCTCGATTGTTCCAGTGTTAACAACGGTAGTATTCTTTTTGGGGAACTATCAGTAGCGGAAATTAATTTCTTACGATTCATTTTTTTTACCGTAAATGCAAAAATCGGGAAGTTCAATTGTTTGTTTGCAATCGTAGGATCTAGCTGCATGTGTCTGACGCCATCAATATGGCGGTCTTCCTTTTAAAAGGGATATTCAATTTTAGTTAGCGAACGTGTTCACCAAAGATCAAGTAATGGTACATTCGAACATCGAATTAGGTTTCAAATTGATCGAATGATGAATATACTAGCTATTCAGTTTTAGATTTTATCGATTTGTTAGATCATGATTTTTTGCATGATATGTTGGTAGCCGAACCACTTCAAAGTACATATCCTACAGGGTTAAAGTTCATCGCTGAACCGCAGATCTTCATGAAAATTCCTATTTTCGCGGATCATGCGAAACTCCGGTCAGGAAAAAATTTGTTTGGTTAAATAATGAGTTTTTTTACGGTGAAAATAAAATAGAGATGCCATTACAAGTATTGATGACGATATATCATCTCCTATTGCAAACGAGAAGTCTGCGGTCCATATGCTACAGTGATTGTTCGAACTTCTTTCGATTAAAGGGGGTTGAGAATGGAACAATGATGTTCCCAAAATTCTATTTCACGTGCTACAACGTATTTTGTATAAATGCATAAACCGCCATAACGACAGATTCCGGCGACAGATTGAATCCTGTTTTCCTGTTGCCGATGACGTCGTCCGGCGTCAAATTGATTATCATTTTCTATTAGTTCTTAGCGGTAAGAAGTCAAGTTCGTGAACCCGCCGATAACGCGTGAAATGGCGAAGCAACCAGCGATTTATTCGGGTAGTCATGGTTCTTGCGCACGTACGTGGCCAAGGTCACCGGTACGGATCCATCGGGTCGAGCCAGTTGTATTATATTCCGGAGTGCATGCACTACTAATCATATGCGAAGGAGACGTATTGGTTCCACTCGAGGGGACACCGGCGACCTTGATCACTCCGGGGGGAAAAAATAGCTCCTAGATCTTCTCGTTCGTCCCACGTAGCCTAAAGATTAGCTATGCGGCTGCAATGTTCGGTTGCACGTTTGATCGAACATCTACAGGGTGCTCTGGAACCGGCGGCGCAGCCCGAAAGGGTTCAATCCGTAGGGTGGCACACGTGTTCCAAGGTGTAGCTGCGTTATGGGTGAAATTGGAAGGAAATGTTACAGGGAAAACATTATTGATTTCAGGCTTATCATACGGGGTGGCTGCGAAGTCTCGATTCGTTTCGACCTTGCTGCCGCCTCTGCGAGACTTTGCAGATCCAGTCGCGTTCTCGTTTCTTCGGTCTTCTTTCTCTACCATGATCGTGTGATAGTTCTCGCCTTCGGCTGCAAGTAGTGAAGCAGAAAGTTAACAAAATTTTCTCTTAGCGATACCTAGATGGACACGGTGTCCTATACAATTTTAAGTCATATCCTGTCAATTTAATTGCCTAAACCGGTTGTTTCTCATATATATATATAATTCCCTCGTTTAAACGAAGTAATATAAAGTAATATAATTATTAGTTCGAAGTAATATAATTATTACTTCTTCTTTTTTTACCCTCGCTCATTTCTTTATATAACTTTCTACATCTTATTTTTTAGTGTACACTACGCAACAAACGGATTTTTCCGTTTACATCAATAAAATATTATCATTATTATTATTAACCCTTATCGCCCCAATCGGCAGTAATGCTGCCAAGCTTAAGCCAGAGTTCTATAAAATTCTTGAAGTGATAAGTCATTAGTAAATGAAATAGGCCAGGTTTCTTTCTCCCAAACGCTAATTGCTGGAGCATCTCCAAAACAACTTTTCGGCATTCATTTCTCGTTTATCGAACAATTAGAACATTTTCTTCGCAATGAGAAAAATTCGCAAATGCGACGGTCTTGCAGAAGACAGGCGAGGTTAGTTCGTATCTTTTCAGTGTCCACACACTTTCTACAGTAGCCCCTAAAAAAGCTAAGTGTTCGAACATCTGCGTAAAAGATGCGAGACGTCGATGCGTAAAATAGGAAACCTAATCCCTCGAGAAGTAAGACACGCTTCGGTTAGGGTGTCTCTCGAAGCATGTGGGACCCATTGCAGTCGCGGACGAGGTCGTAAAACCCGGCGTGAAAAGTTTATGCGAACGCGTGCCGTATTCGAGCTAGCGGCGGCCATTTTTACGCTCTGCTCGACGAACTTAGGCGAGCCGCCCTACGATTGATTCTACCAAATAAATTCTACCAAATATAGCCAAACGATAACCTCGTCGGCGAGACTGGGGAACGATATAGAACTACGTAGAACCGCATTCCCTGGCTATTTCGAGCAACAGGGGTAAAAACCATAAATGCGAATTTATTCTCGACCTTCTCTTTCAACGTCTCCCGCGTCCCCACATAAATTCACTGTCTCTTTTAATTGTCGTCTCTCCTTGTACTCTTTTCTTCTTCTTTCG